TTCACAAACAGGCTGGGAATCAGAATAATGATTATAACTGATTTAAATTAATAAATTAAATTTACAGACCACTACAAAACACCCTATTTTACATTTGTTTTGTACTAGGATTAGTATATGTTTTGGGCTCAATCCTTTTTTGGGAGTGGTAATACTGCAAAGAGGTCTGAGTGGATGCAGGTGTCAGTGGGACCTATGTTTGCATCTACATTGCTGGCTGATCAACAATGGCTGTAACTGGGGCAAATTCCCACTGCAGACAAAACTTTAGAACAGGGGTTCTCAAACTGGGGGTCAGGACCCATCGGGGGTCGCAAGCTGTCAGCCTCCACCCCAAACCCCGCTTTGCCTCCAGCATTTATAATGGTGATAAATATATAAACAAGTGTTTTCAATTTAGGGAGTGGGGGGTCAGGTCACACTCAGAGGCTTGCTATGTGAAAGGGGTCACCAGTACAACAGTTTGAGAACCATTACTTTAGAAGGACAGAATAACAATGCCTTCAATTGTTCGTTATCACTCCAAACCACGCAGGATGTCAGCTGGCTCCAAACAGAGTCCATCCAACCCTCCTTAGGGCTTGGCTACATTTGCAAGTTAGCGTGCATTAAAGCAGCCCCGGGTGCCCTAACTCACTACCTGTCCACACTGACAAGTCACGTAGAGCGCTCTGACTCTGTGGCTAGAGCGCTCCTGGTACTCCACCTCAGTGAGAAGATTAACACTTGGTGCGTCTTGGCTGAAACGCCCAGGCATCAGTGTGAACAAGGTGTCGCATTACTGCGCTCTGATCAGCCACCGGAAACATCCCATAATCCCCTTAAGTCAAGTGGCCACTCATCATTGTTTTGGAATCGCTACAGGAATGCCCTTTGAAAGCTCCGTTTCTGACAGCCAGCATGCTTATCTGCTCTGAGACAAAGCAAACGATTACTGTGGAATGCTGTGTGTGTGAGAGAGAGAAACGGGTAGGGGGGAGGAAGGGGTCTGCTGTTGTCCAAACTTACAATACAGCATGCCAACATGCTCTCAGCCCCCCAAAAACCCACTCTCTCCCCCCCCACACATACACAAAACACACTCCCTGTCACACTCCACCCCCCACCCCTATTTGAAAAGCACATTGCAGCCACTTGCATGCTGGGATAGCTACCACAATGCACTGCTCTCTGTGGCCGTTGCAAGAGCAGCTAACGTGGCCATGCCAGTGCGCTTGAAGCTGTCAGTGAGGACAAACTGCAGTGCTTTCCCTACTGCGCTCTATGAAGGCTGGTTTAACTCAAAGCGCTCTACACCTGCAAGTGTAGCCATGCCCTTAGACAGGATAGTAGCTGTGAAGTAGGGAAAGCAGGAAGATTATCTAGGCTTCAAAGGACCATGGATCAGAGAAAATTACTTGAGGATCAGGGATGTGAAGCAGCACAATACTTACCCAACTCTGAAAACATCAGCCAGCTTTAGGAATGCAGAATTAATGAGAATCGGGAATGGATATTTCTGAAAGAGTCTGGGAAAACGGACAACAGCTTCACATTGCTCCCCAAGTTTTCCAGACCTGAGGCCTATGTGAAAAACAACAATTATTTTCTAGCAGTATAGCTACGGTTTTCCCTGACGGAAGACCGAAAAACTCAAGATTATCTAGAGTGGAAATAAGATGGAGCATGACAAATCTAATATAGGAGGTAAAATGGGCTATTTACCCTCTCAAGTAAAACTTAAGGGCAAAGTTAATGAAACTGAAAGGTAACAAATCTGCAACTAATAAAAAAGACACACTCCACACACAGGCACAATGTAATTAACCCACAGAACTCATTGCCACAAGATACCATTGAGGCAGAAAGCTTAGCTGGATATTTTAGAAAGGATTAGACATTTATATGAATAATGAGACATCTATACAGTTGGCCCTGACCCTGAAAACACCCAAACACACATTTAACTTTACTCACATGAGTAGTCCCATTGAAGACTATAGGACTACTCACAGGAGCAAAGTGACACACATGCCTAAGTGTGTAAGATTAGGGTCTTGGATAGGATAAAATTTACATACATTAAAATATGTAAAGTCAGGGTAATTTTGATTTTTCTGAAAGTGTAAAGGAAGTTAAACATTCTTTCTGCAGAGAATATTTAAAACTGACGTTTTTGATACTTTTATGCAGTGTCTAATGTCTCTTTTGGTCCCTATCAATTGAAAACTGAGTCATCATCAGTCTTCCATCATTAACTAGTGAGCAGGATAACTTTCAAGCAAAATACAAATATACTCATGATTAGCACTATTGAGTCACTAACTGAACTACTTTTTGTTTCCTTTTTGGTACTACAGAAGTCACTTAAGGAATGCACTTGACAAATATTACTGAGGTATTAGATACACAGAATAAGGGCAACAAAGCAAGCACAGAGCACAATCTTGCGAATTCCAGACCCTGGCATTCTGTCAGCTCTCCTACAGACTTCAATCCACATTCACTTTAGTTAACAGTTATTAAACATAAAAAGAAAAGGAGTACTTGTGGCACCTTAGAGACTAACCAATTTATTTGAGCATAAGTTTTCGTGAGCTACAGCTCACTTAATCGGATGCATGTATACTGCAGTAGCATGAGAAGGCTACAACTAGTTTGGGTCATGTAGTACTTGACAAGCTCTTCACATTAATTATTTTTTCCCAAAAACAAATAATTCTATCCAGTCCATAGCTTAGAAGTGCTCTTGGATTCCTCACCAACACTAAGCTCTCATATCAGCATCCAAGTTCACCACTTTCTATCATTTCCAGTTGGTTAGAAGATCTGTCACATCCTGGCAAAGATAACCTGGCCTCAGTTATTAATGCCTTCGTCAACTCTTAGTTGGACTACAGCAATGCAACATAGATAGACGTGAAACATTCAGTGCTTAGGAAACTCCAATTGGTACAGAATGCTGCAGAACGTTTCGTCAGCAACAGTGGCTACCACAAACAAATCAGACCTGTCTTCCACTCCCTACACAGGTACTCAATGGCCTAGACCAGAGATAGTCAATAGGTGGATCATGTGCCAAATCGACACCGCGAGACACTTTTGAAGAGACTGCAAAATCTTTTATTTACTTATTATTGTTGGTTTTTTTATATTATTTTCTCTGGAGTCTCGACCTTGACCAAGAAAGTTATACCTTTATGAAAAATATATTGATTACCCCTGATCTAGACCCAAGTATCTAAGGGTAGGTCTCCACTCCAGAATTACTTTGATATATCTATGTCACTCAGTAAACAATTCACACTCTGGAACCACTTAGTTATGCCAACCTCAGTGCCAATGTATACAGGGGTATGCTGGTGGGAGGGTTCTCCCACCAATATAGCTACTGCCTCTTGCAGTGGTGGATTAACGATGAGAAGGTGAGGGCTCTCCCCTCACTTTAGAACATCTGATGCAGTGTTTTTAGTGTAGACCTGCCCTGTGAGATCTGCCAAAGCTCTAGGATGAAGACTGTGATTAACAACTTCTCTTCCCTGGCACAATAAGGGTAAAGCTAATCTGTACAGGAATCACAGAATCATAGAATATCAGGGTTGGAAGGGACCTCAGGAGTCCAACCCCCTGCTCAAAAAGCAAGACCAATCCCTAATTTTTGCCCCAGATCCCTAAATGGCCCCGTCAAGGATTGAACTCACAACCCTGGGTTTACCAGGCCAATGCTCAAACCACTGAGCTATCCTTTCCCGCAGTTTGCTCAAGGGCCGGCCCAACAAGACTGTGCAATGAACTTTCACAGGAGCTAAGGTCCACCACAAGCCACCTTCTGTTGTCAGTCCAAGGCACGTTTCTCTGACTCTGCCGTCACTAACATGACCATACAGCTACACACATCTGATTAAAATGAAGTCCCACCCAGGAGCCTCTCTGGCACACGGGCCGGGGACGAGAGAACGCGCAGGGGGCAGAGGCTAGCCGGCCAGTGGGACGCACGGCTGGAAGGCGCTCGGATGTTGCGGGGGGTAGGGGCGGGAAGAGCAGGAGAACCCACCCGAGCCAGACTTCCCGCCGCTGCCCAGAGGGCTCGGTCACACCCGGGGAGCGGCAAGAGGCGGTGGGGGTTGTAAACGCCCCGGCCGGGCGCCGTCTGGGCGCTCTATGCTGGGGCGGCACAAAGGACCCGATCGCAACACGAACAGTACCAGGGGAAGGAGCCGCTCAGCCCGGCCGCTGGCTGCAGGGCACCGGCTCCGCGAAGGAGGGGCCGCGGCCGGACCGAGGGAGGGGGCACAGGGCAGCGTGTCTCTGCGGCCGGCCTCGTCCTCCTCTGGGCTGGCCCAGAGCGGGGCCCGGGAGAGACACCCCGCGCGGCCCAGCCCCTCGATGAGGCGGGGCGGCCACTACGTGCCCGCGCATGCGCGCTGCGCTGCCACAGCAGGGCGGTGGGCGGCTTCTCCCTACCTTTGTCCAGCTCCATGAGGGCGGAGTTGGCGTCCAGCTCTTGCTCGCCGTAGCCCGCGTCCGCCAAGAAGGACTTAGCGCCGGAGGCCATCGCGCTCCCCGCTCCCGGTACTAGCTCACAGCACGATTCGTAAACTCAGTGCGCAGCTACCAGCGCCCCTAACCGTCTCCTGCGGCTGCGCATGCGCGATTCGCCACACCACCGACGGGTTTACAGCGTGCGCACGCACTGTCACGTTCCCGCCACCGCGTTTGGGGACGCATGCGCTGTCACCAGCTGCACACCGCACGTGCGGACCCAGCTAGCCTCATACTCCCGCCACTGGGTCTCTCGCACATGCGCAGCGCGCTCCGATAGGTGCCCCTGTGCAGTGACGTGCCACTACCCACCGCCTTCACCGTAGCGCCGGCAGCATCTACCATGGGCAGAGTGGAAATAGGTGTGGTCTCGTGGCCCCGCCCCGGAGCCACCGCCCAATGGGAGGTAGCGGGTGTGGCCTCTAGCCCCGTCCCCGTCGTTCTGTCCAATGGGGAGCGGGAATGGAGTTTGGCGAATTGGCGGGTAGTTCGGGTGGCGGGAGTGGATGGTCGGTGCTGTGTTCGTTCCTGTCCCCGCCGCTGCTTGCGTAACGGGTCATGCTCTGCCGCTCGCTCCTCCAGCGGGCCCAGGCCGGGCCGCAGCGTGAGTAACGGACCGCGATCCACGGGCCCGACCCTCCGCTCCCCGGGATCCGGATCCCTGTCTCCCGCTGCGTGAGCCCGCAGCTCCTGGGATTCCCCGCCCGCTCCGCCGGACACCGCCTGCCCGGCTTCGGCCCCGACGCCGGGGGGTGGGTGCCAGGGCCGCGGGGAGGGAAGGCAGGTGCCTGTTCTCTCCGCGGCGAGCGGGACCGATGCACGGGGTGTGTGTCCCTTGCAGTGCCGCCCCTGGTGCTCTGTCCTTGCTTGGACAGCCCCACTGCTGGGGCGCCCCCTCTCTGGAGAGATCACCCCACGGGTGGCTCTGTCCAGCCCGGGGAGGGGCTCGCAGCTACCTGTGATGATGGGGTTTGTCTGGCGCATCTCGATAAGACGTTTCTAACGCGGGGGGTGTAGCGAATGGTATAGCAAATGCCCCGCACAGGTCGTGGATTCTTCTGTTTAGTGTTCAAATTATGACGAGTACTTCGGCTCCATGACCAAGTGCAGAACCCCATCAACGTGGATGAGTCCACAAAATGTGGACAAGACCTCTGACCCAAGGAAGTTGGTGGGTTTCATTTCAGCCACTCAAAATCCTGATTCATATCAATCTTTTTCTTATTTTTAGGTCTGTCCTTGCAATATCCCCTACAACACCTCTTGGATTGCTATCAGTGTAGTCAGCAAGATGACCACCTTTCTTATGGAGAGATGGGAATGCCAGTTCCACCTTTTGGTTGCACCTTTTCTACGGGTAAGTGTTCTTTTCTGAAATCAAAATACTATGCTAGAGCCAAAGCTGTGCATATGGACAGATATTGTAACCATTTATTTTGAATATTAAGTTTCATAAAGAGTTCCTTATTTTATATCAAGGACAAAGTAGATGGCAGTTAATGACACATCTATTAGAGCAACCAATAAGGTGAACTGAGTAACACTATGATTTACTTTGGTATACTAGAGCTATGCAGCACAATGGACTGTGGGAAGGATCATGGGATTTCTGTGCATTTTAATAAAGTGTGCTCAGTTAAAGAATTTAAATGCATTTACACACTTCAACAGCTTTTGATTTCAGCCTTGTCTAAGGCAAAGTATGTCTCATTAATGTGGAGCTAAGATGTTTGCAGGTTTAAAATTAGGCCAGTTGGTCTTGGTTCATAAGTAACTAGGACCTGGAACAGAGTGAGTAGTAGTAAATAGAAACTGGTGAGGAGGAAGATGTGCTACTAAAATCTCATATGTATCCTTCTTACTAAATAAAAAACCTTTTAAGTCTTTCTGTGAGTGTAGCATAGGTGAAAGTTGCTGGCTTATTTGACAGCTCTGGATACTGAAATCCCTATCTGCTGGTATAGCACTGACATTAGGTGTGCAAGTTTTTCCACACTGCTCCTTTTGCCCCAGTCTCAACCCTGGCCTGGAGGGACCACCAAAGGGTGTAGAGGATAGTTCATTTTTTATATTTATTCAACACTGTGAATAAGGTGACAGTCAGTAGTAAGAGTGGTTGGGTGCTGGCTTTGGTGATGAGCATACCTGTCCATGAGAAATGAACTAAGTCAACTAATTTTCCATGGACCATTTGGCAGCTATCAGATGGCCCTGGCTCTTGACCACTACACATTTGGGTTGGATTTGTACCATCATCCTTGAGAGGAGACTTTGGCAGCTCATTACTAGTTCCCTGAGCAATCCAGTCCCCCTTATATTCTACTTTCCAAATCCAGAGGTCATGCTAAAAACCTCACAGCATCAAATAATGATAGGATATCTGTTTCCTCTGCACTTTGGAATTTGTTATTCTGTCTGCACTATCAAACCATTTTGCGTAAAAGTAATATTTCAACTAACAGATTTATTCAAGGAACAAATATATTAAAGAACCCAAATTACTGTGACATTGAGTTAACTGATCAAATCCAAGACCTTACTGTGAATCTAGGGAAGAAACTCTTTCTAAAACATTTGACTCATAAAAGTTAAGGGGAAATTAAAGGCTCACTTTGCATTTAGAATCTGTAAAATTATGGGATAAAATAAGTCAATAGAATCCTAGAAATGTAGGGCAGAAAGGGACCGTTAGAGGTCAAGTCCAGCCCCCTGCACTGATGCAGGACCAAATAAACCTAGATCACCCTAATAAGTGTTTGCCCAACCTGTTCTGGGCAATGACTGGGATCCCAAAACGTGCCTTGAAAGCCTATTTGAGAATTTAACTACCTTATCATTAGAAAGTTTTTCCTACAATTTAACCCAGGGGTTCTCACCATTTTCCTTTCTAAGGCCCCCTTCAACATGCTATAAAAACTCCAGGGCCCAGCGGGGCAGGGGGTGAGCCCTTGGACATAGGCATAGTTTGACTTCTATTTGTGGGGGCAGGCGCTGCGGCGGCTTGGGCCAGCTCCGCATGGAAGGGTACATGGTGGCAGCGTCACCTCCACCCCCTGACTCACCTCAGTAGACCACCCAGCCTGTCTGAGTTGTGTGTGGTGGGAGTTCAGCTCAAAAAATTTGAAAACCACTCAGGATACAGAGGTAGTTAGGGACTGTGTGCAGGTATGGGGGTAGCTAGGGGCTGTGTGTGGTCAGGGGAGTAGCTTAGGGTTCAGGAAGGGGGTAGCTAGGGGCTGTGCACCAGGAGGGCTCCCCTGTGGTCACTGCTCGCCAAGGGCTCTGCCAGCCACAGATCCGGGTCCCCCTGCTTAGGTGGCTCTTACTGGCTGCATGAGCTGAGGAGCAGCTGCAACCCCAGGCACCAGCAACGGGAGACAGAATGCCGCGGCTGCCCACTCCATGGCACCAGCCAGAGCAGCAGCTACCAGGCTCCGGCTTCCCGCCTCTGACCTGACCAAGGGGCAGGGAGAGGAGGAAGTGGGGGTGTGTGGAGCTGTCCTTGGGACTGCTCCGCTCTGGCACTGTGGGGAGGGGAAGCAACCAGTGCTTGGGGCTTCAGCCCCATGACTCCTGGCTCCAGCCCCACGGTGGAGGGCGCCAGGGCTTCTGGCTTCAGCCCCACGGCAGGGGAGTTCTGGGTTCCAGCCACGGGGTCCCGCAGCCCCCCAGAAAGGGCTCAAGGCCACCCAGGGGCTACAGACCCTCGATTGAGAACTGCTGATGTAACCTAAATCCCCCTTGCTGCAGATTAAGCCCATTACTTCTTGTCCTAGCTTCACTGGATATGGAAAACAATTGGTCATCATCCTCTTTATAACACTCCTTAACATATTTGAAGACTTTTATCAAGTCCCCCTTCAGTCTTCTTTTCTCAAGTCAAAACATGCCCAGTTTTTTTAACCTTTCTTCATAAGTCAAGTTTGTTTAATCTTTTATGATTTTTGTTGCTGTCCTCTGGATTCTTTTCAGTTTATCTACATCTTTCCTAAAGTGTGTCGCCCAGAACTGGACACAGCACTCCTGCTGAGGCTTCTCCATTACCAAGTAGAGCAGAACAATTATATCCCATGTCTTACATACAACACTCCTCTTAATACCCCCCAGAATATTAGCCTTTTTTGCAACTACATCACATTGTTTACTGATACTCAATTTGTGGTCCACTACAACCCCCAGATCCTTTGCAGCGGTACTACCATCTAGCCAGTTATTCCTCATTTTGTTGACTTTTTTTGCATTTGATTTTTTCCTTCCTAAGTGTAGTACTTTGCACTTGTCTTTATTGAATTTCATCTTGCTGATATCAGACCAGTTCTCTAATTTGTCCATTCTGATATTCTTTATAAACTACTGAGGCGGCAGGGGACTAGTAATTAGGAATATCTGAGTTTTAATTGTAGCTCTGCCACCATCTCGCTGTAACATTTGGCAAGTCATGTAAGCTTTCCGTTTTCCCTTCGGTAAAGTGGGCTATTCATATTCTGTTATAGAGCATTAATGTTTATATAGTGCTTTGAAGATGTAAATTGCTATGTCAGTGCTAATGACTTTTTCCAAAGTTGTGCAATTGCTGTATATTCTATTTAAGTAATTTGTTTGCAGTTCTCTTTTGGGAAGGAAACATTGAGGTAGCTATTTAATATACAAAAAACATAACTTCCAATCATTTGTCTTTCAGCTTCAGATCTGCAGCATGTACTTGCAGTTGCAAATGAAGAAGGCTTTGTTAGACTTTATGATACTGAAACCCAAAACAGTGGCAAGCAGATCTTTAGAGGTAAATGTAACTCAGAGCAAGATCTGAACTTGATGTAAAAAATGGGCATGATTTGTTAGAAGCAAAAAGCGCTTTTGCTGTGTTGACTAATACTTAAATATGGGCAGTACTTGCATTCCTTCTTTGTAATTTCATGGCTTCTGTTTTTAAAGCAGTAGTGTGAACATGTCCCCAGTATTGCTCTTCTAAACAAATTGTCCTATGTTGCTTTTAGCACCCGTGAAAAACTGTTGTTGACAAGCCACAAAATGTAGTCATTTGAATGTTGGATTAAAAAATGTTCATAGTTCTCTACAAGTGAATGTCACGCTTCAATGCGTTTCCAAGATGCCTACTTTTTGCATGGTCTGAACTAATCTTAGCCTTTGTTTTTCCTTCAGAGTGGCTGGCTCACTCAAATGCGGTCTTCGACCTTGCCTGGGTGCCTGGGGAACACAGGATTGTAAGATGACTTGTGCTCTCTGACTTTATTTTTAGTGCTCTGGTGAACGATGCAAAGAATGACTAAATCTTTTCATTTCTTCCCCTCAAGGTTACAGCTTCAGGAGACCAGACAGCCAAAGTGTGGGATGTGAGGGCTGGTGAGCTGCTTGGCATATGTAAAGGTCATCAGTGCAGCCTCAAGTCAGTTGCTTTCTCTAAATTTGAGAAAGGTAAATGTTCATGTTTCTCTCCCCATTTTTTTTTTTAAAGTAAATCTTAGTACTGATGAGATCTCTGGAGGCCAAAGCCCACTGTTTGTAGCACAGGCAGTGCCCGAGTAGGCTTCCTCACACTGCCCTTCCAATGTGGCTCAACTGTGTCCAGTAGAGACCTTCTCTGGGGTGAAAGGCTGGTTAAGTTTCCAGGACCACTCAGTTTTAGTGGTCTCTGGGCTGAAGTTGTCAACAAGGGTGTCTGTGCTATGTAGTTATACGTAAGGAACTGTAGCAAGGGTGGCCAAACCACAGTTCATGAGCAGCATGTGGCTTTTTTACAGTTAAAGTGCGGCTCGTGGCGCCTCCATCGTGCTTCCCCCTGCTTCTCTGTCCACCAGACTGGGGGGTGGGGTGGAGCTAGGGGCTTCTGCCCTTTGGCAAGGTGGTGGGGCTAGGGGCTTCTGCTCTGAGGGGAGGGGGGTCTCGGGGTTTCAGCCCTCCAGGGAGCACCTGCCAGGGCTTGGGGCTTCAGGCGGTGCCTCCTGCAGGGCTGAAGCCCTGAAACCGGCAGGCGAGCTTGGCTCTTGAACTTCTGAAGATTGTCATATGCAGCTCAGAGGATCAGTAAGTTTGGCCACCCCTGAACTATAGTAAGATTAGCTACTCCTGCATGGGACACCAGAAAGCGATTTAATGCTGGTAACTTCTTGTGATCACTAACCTGAGCCAAATTTAAGCTATTAAAGTTGGAGGTTCCCTAAGTCATTCAATTCTCCTTGAACATTCATATGCTACTATCTTCAGTTATTGCCTGTGGGTCAGTTGTAATAAGGAAAAACCCACCAATCTCCTTTGCCAAACAGTACCAAGCAGCAGGCTGCCTTTCCTCAGATTCTAAATATACCACCTTAGCAGTGAGCCTGCAGCCTTGAGATGTGGTTGCCAGGTTTAGGGCTAGGACAGGCAGATGACGCAGGGCATTGTCACAGAGATGGTGCCACCCTGGCTTCAGTTAATCTTCTAAAATGAACACTTGTAACTTTTTGAAGCTAATAAATATGTTTCCCTCAGCTGTCTTCTGTACTGGAGGCAGAGATGGAAACGTCATGCTCTGGGACACCAGGTGCAACAAAAAAGGTAGGTGAGCTTTCAGAAGTGTGTAATGGGGCTGGTGGTGTGTATTGGAGCTTATTCTTTGGGGTTGATGCAGTTTATTGCAATACAGGCAAAGCCCCTTAAACAGGACATGAATTATTTGGGGGAAAAGCTGCTTTAGTGGGAGAAAGCCAAGGATCTGATTTTTCTGTATTTAATGGGTATTACCACTTTCATGGCACTCTCAGATTTACCTAAGTCTCTGTATTGATATGTTTTGTGGGCCATAATTACAGAAAAGTAGGGCTTGAAAGGGACCTTGAGAGGTCATCAAGTCCCACCCCTAAGATGAGGTTGGACCAAATAAGCCTTATCCCTGACAGGTGTTTGTCCAGCAATTCTTAAAAACCTCCAGTGAGTGGGATTCCACAACCTCTCTTGGAAGCCTGTTTGATAGTGTAACTACCCTTATTGTTAGAAAGTTTTTCCTACTATCTAACCTAAAGCCCCCTTGTTTCAGATTAAGCCCATTACTTCTTGTCCTGCCTTCACTTGACCCCCCATTTTGTAGTTGTGTATTTGATTTTTTTTTCTTTCCTAAGTGCAGTACTTTGTACTTCTCTTTATTGAATTTCATCTTGATGATTTCAGACCAATTCTCCAATTTTTCAAGGTTATTTTGAATTCTAATCCTGTCCTCCAAAGTGTTTGCAACCTCTCCCTGCTTAGTGTCTTTCAACCAGTTGTACACCCACCTTTATGGTAATTACATCTAGGTCACGTTTCCCTACTTTGCTTATGAGAATGTCATGTGGGACTGTGTCAAAAACCTTACTAATATGAAATCGCTTGTCTTGCTTCCCCCCATCCATGTCAGAAACCATGAAACCATGTCAGAGAGGAAAATAAGATTGATTTGGCCTGATTTGTTCTTACACAAATCTGTGCTAGTTATTCTTGATAACTCTGGGGCAAAAATTGGGGATTGGTCCTGCTTCAAGCAGGGGGTTGGACTAGATGACCTCCTGAGGTTCCTTCCAACCCTAACCTTCTACGATTCTATGATTCTATGAACCCTGTTATCCTCTAGGTGATTACAAATTGATGGTTTAATAATTGGTCTGTTGTTCACAGTTAGAGTTGCTACAAATTGTTCTCAGCTGCTGATCAGTGCTTTTGCTGTCCAGACTCTCAAGAGGCCCATCTGGAGGAAACAGCTCTTGGTGCATGCTGTTCTCCACACTTCCACTGTGCCTTTGCTCTTGCCAATCAGTTGGGGACTTCAAATCACCGGATCAGGCAGGGGAAAAAAAATTATTAGAGAAATGTCCAAGACCAACCAGAAAGGAGAGTGTGTGAGGGTTAGGGCTGTGAGCTCATAGATGGCCTAACTGCTGTGATTTCAGTGAATACTATCAAAAGAGGAAAGATCTGATCCAAGAACTAGCTGCCCGAGATTTTACTTTACAGTTGTCTGACTCTCATGCAAGAAATGATGCCATAACATTGGTTTTAAACCTGTTCAGCATTGACACATGGGCAAGGCACCCTCACTAAGCTGCACCATATGTGACAGAACTCAGGTTAGTTGTAGACCAGTCAGATGGCTTTGTAAGGTGCTCAGACACCACGATGATAGGTGCAGGAGTGATGAATGAACAAAAAACTGAGTCTCCTCAATGAAATTTATCAGCTTCATTGTACTTGGAACCAGACTGGAGAAAGCACTACAAACGTACTGTGGGAGAAATCCTGCACTGGACTAGATGATCATATGTATTTCCCTTCACAATGTAGCTAACATTAATGAAGTGCTATGTAAGTGCTAACTTTTAGAAACTTGACACACACTGTATTTAATAAACCTCATGACTGCATGTTGTTAAATCAACAGGATTTAAATGTATTAAACTGATACTTCAGTGAAATTAATTGTAGAACTCACTGTCCTAAAGGGCTAACCATGGTTTGCACTTCACTTAATCAGGAAGAATTTAACCTATTGAAGAGTCCTGACTGAATGGCAGCTATTGCAATATATGCTCATGTTCTTTATTTCCTGCTTCTATTCAGTGTTTAAAATAACTGAAAATGCTTGTTTGCAGAGTATATGAATGAAACTAAAGGTCACTCTCAGTCAATTCCTAGAATGTATTTCCACTCTGTGTCTATTTTTATTAAAACTGTGGCTGTAAATGGGAGCTAATCTAGCAGTAATAAGTGAGGCTTCCTGGAACTGTCTTTCAGATGGATTTTACAGGCAGGTGAATCAAATTGGAGGAGCCCACAACATAGTAGACAAGCAGATACTCTCCAAACCCAAGAAGAAAAAGCAGAATCTCAGAGGACTTGCCCCTTCAGTGGTAAGAATTTGGAAGGTGAAAGAAATCTAGGACTCTACTTCCCAAGATAGCATTTTGTGTTGTGGTAGCTTTGCAAACTAATGAACAAGAGAGCATCTCGACTGGGGAGAGCTATCTAGTTTGAATGGGATAGAAATGCTGATAAGCTTATCTTCTTCAAAGCCTGATCTCTATTGTTGTTTTATAACCAGACACTGTGATCAATTTGGCTCACCTGTGTTGGAAATTAAATATGAGATCCAGTTATCCTTGAGCAAATCATATGTCCTTTCTTCCCCGGGTATGTGCTTGTGTTTTTACTTTGGAGGGATCAGTGCCCAGCATGACTCCATTCCTAGGCTTCTAAGATTTTTCAGGAAGCTATTGACACAGTCGTGCTTTTATATTTATAACTCATGGGAGTAAGAGTTGTGCCTGTTTCATCCACTAAATGCAATGGTGCGAGAGCTCTACTATGTCTAATCTGCGAGGAGTGTTTTCAAATCTGAGCCCAATCCCATTGACCTCTGTGGGAATTCTATTTGCGAAGGGCCTTGAACCTGGTGTCCTAAATTGCAACTAGCACTCCTGGGCCTCCTGCCTATGGTGACTAACTTGCTGGGCAACAAAAACTTGTGACCGTGGTGGAATCCAAGGACTGAGCCACTACTAAAGCAGGACTCTGGCTGGTTAACAGTTTGGCAGAACTCAGAATGAATCTGTCTGGGAGGAAGAGTGAACTGATTTCCCAAACATTCATGCTGGCCTTGAACTTTGCAGAGAATCTCTACTGACTGTGACAGAAAACAAATAGCTTTCTTTTCCTTTTAGGATTTCCAGCAGAGTGTGACAGTGGTGCTGCTTCAAGATGAACACACCCTTATCTCTGCAGGAGCTGTCGATGGGTAAGGAGAGAGAGAATGGATGTTTTTCTGAGCTAATCTGAATTTTCCTCTCAGTGTCACAGGCAGAAACTGAACAGAAATTGTAGGGGTCCCAGTAGATTTTACATATTGCTTGAATCGCAGTAAATTGCTGGTGAACATCTCAAGTGTTACTGACTGTCCATCTAACAAAATCTAGAGTGGACAATAAGAGCCATGAATGGTTCTAACAGGAGGCAAGCTCACGCTCTGGTATTCTGGCACATGGGCAGATGAGATGCCTTGTTTAACTGCCTAGGAAATTCACTCTACTTGCCAATTAGAAAGGTCTCTAACCATGTTAATTTTACATCTAAATGCAGCTTGATAGCATCACTTTTAAGGAAGCAATGCACTATAATAGCAATTTTTCATCTGTAGAGTTTAAAATTCTTCACAAAGGTGGGCAGGCATTTCCCCCATGTTACAGGTGGGGAAACCGAGGCAAAGAGCAGCTTGGTGGCTTTCCCAAAATCACTTAGGGTATGTCTACACTGCAATTAAACACCTGTGGCTGGCCCATGCCAGCTAACTTGGGCGCAGGCTGTGAGAGTGTAAAATTGTGGTGTAGATGGCTCAGGCTGGAGGGTCCCAAAGCGCAGGCTCCTGCCTGAGCCCGAACATCTACACCACAATTTTATAGCCCCGTGAGCCTGAGCCAGCTGATGTGGGCCAGCCACAGGTGTCTAATTGCAGTGTAGACAAACCCTAGGAGGCCTTCCGATCCAGACCAGTGCTGAATCTGCTGGATTGCATTACGACTTCTGAATGTGTTTCTTACGCCTCCTTACTGGGGTTTTAATTAGTAGAGCAAGCCATGAATTTTTTAAAAAAACTTGGCTTGGAAAGAGCACTCCTGTAAAGGTATGTTAAAATTATGGTCCTTATGTGACTAATCTCCTTAAAAGCCTGGTGTCCTAAAACGGGTTGTGATGGTGAACCCAAGGTATTGCTGCCTTTCATGACAAGTGATTGAGTTTTCTTTTAAGCTTCATAACCAAGTACTAGATGGATGCTGTTTTAATTGTTCTAGCACCTCCATTTTTGTTTAGGGAAAGCTGTCAGACTACTGAGTGGAAATCTTATTCTTCAGCTAATGAGCTGCGCGGGATAAAAAAATTGTTGAGTTACAGAGGGTGCATTTTTGGGGTGCCAGGTCTGTTGGTATATCTTGGAGTGCCAATAAACTGTCCTGGTTAATGTGGAGATCACCTTCTCAGGCTCTGATCCTGCAACCACCTCCATGTGGCCAGATCCCTGAACACAAGCAGAGTGCTACTGAAGTCAACAGGGCTGGGGCCCACCTGCATGGAGCTCATTGCTGGGTGAGGGCCTTCATGACAGAGGCTTGCTCCTGGAGAGCAAGGAAGAAGCTTGAAGAGCTTTTTCAGTATGACTGTCAAAATATCAGTGCATCCTCTTTATTTTAGTTTTCATCTGAGAAAATTAACTTAGTTTGTTATTTCACTGGGTCAAATTACATCTCAGTTCTCTCTGAAACCTAATTCTTGGACTGAAAAACTTCCATGCTTTAGCCTTAAATATATTCTGTTGGTTGCAAAAATAGAACATTCTGGAAGGTGAAAGGCAGTCAGTGACTCCACTGCCTAGCCCAGCAATCTCAGTTGTCATTCTCTCAGCAGGCTTTTGCTCTGGTTTGCTTCAGTCATGCTGCATTTCTAGATTCACTGGGTACAAGCAGTGGGGAGCCATCCTCTGATTGCTGTAGAATGCTTTTATCAGCTCTGTGTAGCAGGTGTAGAAGCTGAAGATGCCTGTATCTTGAATTTCAGTGTAATCAAAGTATGGGACCTGCGCAAGAACTACACCATGTATCGGCAGGATCCGGTGCCGTTCAAGTCATTCTGCTACCCTGGGATCAGCACTCGCAAACTGGGTAAGCAACTGAATGATGTTACTCCTCAAAGTTGCAGGTTGATCTGAAAAATGATGTGAAAGAAGATGACTTGGAGGGGGCTCATGTCTTGTGTCAGTGATTTCCAGATCTGACTGGCCTGTTTTAGTAGGACTTTTTTTTTTTTAAACAGCCAGTACCGGAAAGTCAAGCTTTTTCTCCTGCTTCTGTATCACCAAACCAGTAATAATAACTCCTGTGGGCCTTTCCAATGGGGTTGCACAAAAGCAACTGGGTGGAGAACATGGCCCTGCAATCTGAACTTAGCTAACTTGGTGATGATGAATGAGCTAAAACCAAATTCAGCTCCTTCTTTCTTTGCTGTGTGGGCTCTGTAAACACAGTAAAACTTCTATTGGTCAGAAAAGTAAGCAGCTCTAATTCTGAATACACATAGGGAGCAGATCTACTGAGTAAGAAGTTGCTATTTTTACATGGTAACTTTCTTCACTAGAACCGCACTTTAAGGCCCAGCTTATTATAAACAATCTTTATTTTGTTTCTGTTGCTCTGCACTTACGCTGATTAAAATCCTTGTATCCTAAGTCCACAAGAATAGCATACTGGATCGGACCAGTGCTCCATCTAGTTCAGTATCTTGTCTCTGACAGTATGAGTCCAGTACCAGCTGCTTCCAAAAAAGATGAAAGAAATCCTGCAGCAGGTGTGCACACAGGGAACGCTTTCCCTTCCCTGGAACCCTAACTAATCAGTTAGAGGTTGGCTTATGCCCTGCAGCATGAAGTTTTATGTTCCTTCCAAAACTCTTGGTGGTTATTTATTTAATCTTTTACTGTTTATATATCTGGATGTTCTTGTTACCCATGTAAATCCAACTTTACAAATGCCAGTGAGATTGCTGCTTTTGAAAGTCCAGTTTATATAGGTGAGATGGATGGTTTCTAAACTTCTCCTTAAAGTCTTGGGAGAGTTCAGGGGTGAGAACATCCCAGTAACGTCACATGTAATAGCGATGCCCAGAATTGTGCCCAGAAGCCTTCTGTTTGTTTTCTTGGAATTACTGGTTATGCAGACCTTCTTTTTCTGTCTCCAGGATATTCTAGTCTGGTTTTGGACTCCACTGGTACCAGTCTGTTTGCTAACTGCACAGATGACAATATTTACATGTTCAGTATGACAAGTTTAAAGACCACTCCAGGTAAGAATGATACCCATGGAAACAGCTGCCAAATGGCTAGACTGACACTGTAAAATGCAGCTTCTAAGCTTCAGCCACAAGTTAGGCACCTCCTAAAATCTGGGGTCAGGATGGCTCAGGGCATTGTTAAAGGAGTACAGACCTCTTCTTGCAAATCTAGTTCAAGTTGGGTCCAGGTCAGTAATGAAAGTAAAGTTGATGCAAACGGATGATGATTTGGTGGCCTGTATGAAATTAGTTTGGTCTCAGCCTGGATATCCACACCACACAAACCACCATTACAACTGGCACTAACTGGAACCCTTTGTTAGCAGTTTTGGTAGAGAGTGCAAGGATGTGCAAAGTTTATTCTGTCTTTTAACCCTTGAAGACTGAAGTGCCATTTGTCTATCTACCAGGCACAATGTGGATAGTAGCAATGCAAACTTTCCCCATCACTTGTGCCCTGTTTTGGAGGGACTGCCTGAAGGAACGAGAAGCCTACTTATTCCTTTGTATCTTCTGAGACTGCCCACAAAGAGCATCTGTTACAATATCTGTTCTTGTGATGTGCTCAGATCCGTTGTGATGGAGTTGGGATAAAAATTAGGAACTGAACTAGGGCCACTAGCTCACTCAGGCCATGTCTACACTTACTGGAGATCAACGCTGCTGTAATCGATGCAGTGGGGGTTGATTTAGCAGGTCTGGTGAAGTCCCGCTAAATTGACGGTAGAGTGCTCTCTGGTCGACTCTGGTACTCCACCAGAATGAGAAGAGTAAGGTAAGTCGATGGGACGCGAGAGTGTCTCCTGTCAATGCAGCGTAGTGTAGACACCAGAATAAGTTGACCGAAGCTACCTCGGCTCCAGTTACATTATTCATGTAGCTGGAGTAGTGTAACTTAGGTCAATTTACAGCGGTAGCGTAGACAAGGCCTCAGAGACCACAGCTACCAGATTAGGAATGTTTAGCTTCTGGTCATTACCCCTGTAAAGCACACTTTACCCAGTGAGCTCAGGGTTGAAATGTCCCACGCTCTAGTGCCATCTCTGAACTCTAAAGTTTCATTAAGACTTAATGTATGAGGACAAGAAATGTTATACCAATAAAATAAAAACCAGCAGGGTCTTATTAAAGGGGATAAGACAAAATGTCACATTTATTGTGAATACAAAAAGAATCATAGGCAGTCAGTTATAGCTATAACATTTCATTAAGTTTCACATTCATTCACACGTTCGTTCATACACACACACACACAGGTTCTGCAGCTGCTGTATAGTTCCCAGTCCTGAATGTAGCTTGAGTTCATGGCTTGGATTCGTAGCTTGTGGCAGCTAACTGGCCAGGAAAGCCGGACACAAGGAAGAGCTGGGTCTCTGTTGGACATGCACCGATGCCCTTTCGTGTTGGCAGCAGAATGTTACCCTCTAAGTCTTCCATCTCACCCATCCTTTCTGTAGGCTTTAGTTTGAATCCAGAGTCTATAGGTCTTGCTGTGTCACCCTGCTTCTGGGTTCCATGTGATTGATCACCCGTCAATTGCAGACATGACTTTCAGCCTAGGACCTGGCTTTGATGTTTCTTCAATGTACTTTTGTTCTTTTCTTTTGAGGGTGGATTCCTCTTACTTTGTCAGGGCTGTTGTCTGCATCTTCAGCTGTTGGGTGTTTACACTTCATTTCATCAGGACAGGCTGGGGTTGGAGGTTGATTCCATCATCTATACATACCTCATTCACATATCTAAACTAAACTAATAAGATTACAGCAGGGTTTTGCAAAAATAAAGGTTGCAGCAAGCTTTTACAAAATGGAGTGAGCATTTTAAAATGGAATTTGAGTTACAATAGAGACAAGTATAAGGAATGGCAAACAGTGAGCAGAAGTTACAATGTTGAAACAGTGTAAGTTTCAGCGATTTAAGCAGCAATTGGATTGAAAGTGAAACTCAATTAGCCAGTTATTGGGGTACCTGGGTTTATGAATGAATGTAGTTTCATTCATAAAACTTTACTTATGAAGTTATATTAATAAAGTGAACAATTAAAAACAATTTCATTGATCAGTTCTACAGAAATGCATGTGGTCTGATGATAAATTGTCTCAAAAGATCTTAAGACATCACCATTCTGAGTTGAGTTTTTATAACAGTCCCCAGAACACTCCTACACTATATGAGGTCTTCAGCAGGGATCCAGACTATCTTTTCAGATGGCTTTGGCTGTGCCTCTGTGACCTTTATGCTAACACAGTGATTAATGAATTGTGATGCACAGAGCTGCTTCTGTAAGAGACTGACAAATGCTTCACCGCAATAAGCAGTGACACTTCTTACTAGATGTAGCCCAGTCAATGGCATTGTTTTAGAGACTTTCCAGAGACTTTCCAGAGACTTTTCTTAGTCACTCTGCCAACAGAACTCAAAAGAACAAGGCCCCACTCTGTACCCTCTTCAGGAAGACAGCCCAGTGAGAATGCTTCCAGAACTGAGCAGTAGTGGCAGTTCTCAATATTACCAGATTAGCTGTTGATGTCAGATATGCTATTTCTCAGTTCTGGAAGCATTTTCACCAGGCTGCCCTCCTGAAGGAAATTCCCTTCCCTAGGTGTGGTCCTGCCTCTTCAACAGCACAACACAGGGGAAACATAAGAATGGCAAACCTGGCCACTCGGAGAAGAAAAATCACGCATCAGATTTCTGTGCTAATGAACGTACAGACTGCGGGGGGAGGGAGGGAGTGTTAACTAACCAGCAACAGCACTATCATGTTAATTTATCTTCAGCTTGTCTCCATACAACCATCCTTAGGTATAGTTTTGTTTAAATAGTAGTCATTTCTGTAGAGAGGGCATAAGATTGGGAGGCTGGGTGAGGAGGTGTCTAGAAGGATCTTTTATATTTTTTTTTCCTACACTGTGGATCATTTTCGACCCCTGCACTATGAACAGAAAGTCTGAGTTCTAGTAATACTTGCTGTGCAGCCCTAGGCAAGTCATTCCATTTTTCTGTCTCCATTTCCCTGTATTTAAAATGGAGATGTTGACACTGATGACTATCCCCAAGGAAGATTAATTAGATAATGTCTATATAGAGCCTTGAACTTACCTATTCTATACAAAAACTAAATAATTTATAATTCCTGTATAAGGTTTATAAATAGAGCTGGGCAGATTTCTTCAGTTGAATAGTAAATTCCTAGACAAATGCAGTTTCAGGGAGACTATTCCTGAATTGGTGTAGAATTCAGCAAATAGTTTCGGCCACGTAAAAAATGAGGGGTGGGAAATGGGAAAAGTCAGCTGTTCCTTTAAAGATTTCATTTCAGAATGAACTGGTTCAAACTGACATTTTGTTTTGAAATAATGGTTCCAGTCAAGCTGAACAAAATTTGTTTGGTTTGTATGTTTTGGTAACAATCTGAAAAAAATCAGTTTTGGTGTGAAATTAAACACATTTTTGGGGCATTTTTCAGTTCAGCCACAAAATCAATTATGCACTCAGTGCTAGTCCTAGAGGGACAGGACAGTCTCCAGTCTGGCTTTTGAATTTAGTCAGTAGCTTCTATTAACTTGTATTCATTAGGAGGCAAATCTTGATTTCATATTATTGGTTGCAAAACATTTCACTTTTGTTTCAAAGAATTCTCAGCCCAACAGAATGTGTCGATCCTATTCTGAGCCCTGCAGAGGGCAGCAGACTCTTGCAGATTCACTTCAATAATTAGAAAACCAGCAGGATCTGCTGTTGCTTTTCTTTTTGTAGCTCTGTCTGAATCAATTCTGTTCCCTTTTAATTTGAAGGAGGAAGTAGGGAAATGGCTCTTCAGTGGGATCTGTCCCTGTGGCCAGCATGCAAGCTCATGCCGCAGCCTGTCACTCTGTATACTGCATTGAACCAAAAGCTAGCAAGAGCCACAGGATCCAGCGGGGTGTGGTGACCTTTGTAAATGCAAGTTCATGAAATACTCCAAATACAAACAAATACCTTTCTATTTGTTTGTATTTGTAAGTGCTTTGGTCAATGAATTGAAAAGCTTGTTAGTTTCATGGTAACTAAACACCTGCTAAACTGCTACTCTAAGTTCTTACTGTCTTGCTGTAAATCAGACACCACGACGTTCACAGTTCGCTTCCTAGCTCCGTATGCCAGTGTTGGCAGAGGGCCTCAGTCACACATCATGCTAAATTGGGTAACTTGCCCTTTCTACCTTGATAAGAAGCCCGTGTGCAGAGTGGCCGAGTGCTCTAGATCTGTGTGCTGCTCCCGTGTTGGCTGCTGGAACTTCCGGTTCTTGGCATACCAAGGATTGCAGCTATTCAGGGCAGTAGTTTCAAGGCTTAATAGTTCAGGCGAGGTGTTACTGAGACTTTAAAAATAGGCAAGTGACCGTTGTCTCTGAGCCAGCACATATTCTCCTTAAGAAATAAAGCACTGGCAGGAAGAAGGGGGAGGAGCAAATGCCTCCTCCACTGTTTCAGTAGAAGCCAGGTCTTTAGCTAACAACAATTACTGGGTTCCCCATTCTTTTGGGGGTGGTGCAGAGAGCTGCACTCGTGGCCCTGAGAATAGGAGACAAAGAGGCTGACTGAGGGGCCTGGGCTTGGCCCAGAGAAGGTCTTTGCCTGGAGCTGTCACACGGGAAGGAGAGGATTTAACAAAGCTATTAGATGACTGCACCACTGTGCTGTGGAGGGGTCAGTTTATAACAAAAGGGAATGGTGCCCTCTGCTAGCTAGTGGATGAAACTTCAGGCCCTAAAGCAAGGGAGTCTGTATAACCACTGCCTTTTGAGCTATGTGAACAGGCAGGAAAAGCCTGTAATGTCAGCCCTAGTTGTGTAACCAGGTGAACTCCAGAATTCTGTTCTGAGTTTATTTATTTTTATTACTTTTTTTTTGTCTCAGTGGCAGTCTTCAGTGGACACCAGAATTCCACCTTTTATGTCAAGTCCAGCACTAGCCCAGATGACCAGTTCCTGGTTAGTGGCTCAAGCGACCAGAGTGCCTACATCTGGAAGGTGAGACACTTGAAAGAAACCCAGACACAAAGCCCCAACCTGATGGCTCAGAACTGTTCCCTTTTCTCCTTTTGTTTGCTCTCCACATTCACATAGCGAATGGAGATGAGTGGGGAGGAGGGGTCCCATTTAAAGCAGCACAGGCTTAGTTTCTTGCATGTTGTGCCCAGAGTATACAGCTGTCAAACTTGAATGTAACTATTAATGTAAAACAGAGCTAACCGCCCGCCACCACTATGTCTCTCATCACTGCTGATTATTGCAAGTTGCTGATCTTAATCTGGCTTTAATGGGCATTAAAATCTTCTTTCTGTTTATTCAGCAGCTATGACAGGTAGAAGGTTCTTGGTTCATATTTAGCAGTGGTACACATTAGTGGAGTCTAACTGCTTAATTGTTTTAAGGGGCACTTTTGTTTTCCAGTTCATAAGCTCTTGCTTCAGACATAGCTTTTTCTCATGCTTAATTTGCAATAGTTAAAACCTTTGTATTATGGCAAGGGCTCAGCCAGAGCCTTCAGCAAAATTCCGAAATGTTGGCTGACAGCTGAGGAGCTTAGTCACTTGGCATCTCTAGCTGATGTGTAGGAAATGCAAATGTCATGTTAATAGCAGGGCCTTCAAAATGAGAGAAGTTCTGTTCCTCGCTGTGTCGTGTGGGGAGGGATTGTTGGGTTTCATCCACACAGGAACGTGGATAAGAGAGGCATTCTCAGACAAAGAGACAAATGGGTAGAATCTTTAGGTGACTGTTTGTGTAAGTTTTTTGTGTAACTCTTCAGATTATGCTGTTTAATGCTGCAATGAATTCTGGCTGGGATGTCTTTCAATACCATACTAGTGTTCCTGGGGTAAAGTTAGAAGCATATTGACTGTAAGAGCAGGAAATCAGTGAATTTGGAGTCCTGCGTCTTAACTGGCCATGAGACTCTTTTTTTCTCAATCTTAGAATTATTATTGCTGTCTCCATTTTACATTAGCACCATTGGCCTAAACGCAGCCACTCTCATGCAGGAAGCTCCTGCCGTCCCTGATCAATATTGCGCACATACACACACACACACACACCTCCCTCCCTCCCTCCCTCTCTGTATAGTTATAGTTCTCTTACTTGGATTTTCTTATCCTGGCAGCTGCCCTGTGGTGGTGGATTTCAATAGATAGGAACCTATTTAAGTACCAACCACAACTTAATCCACATTAGGATGAATCGTCACTTTCATCTCTAATATTGTGGTCCATGTCCAAACCCTTTGCCAGCTCCCCTCCCCCAAGTAACCCTTTCATGGCACTGTGCAACCTCTACACTGTCTTCTGTTCCTCAGAGGCAAAATTCATCTCCTTACAGGGGATAAGAGAGAGCTATTTAAATGTGACCCACCTGACCTATATCCAGTCAGCCAATTGGCTTCAAACACACTTGCACGAGCACTTCTGAATTCCTTGGTTTACTTGTATTCACTACCAAATGATGTATTTGATGTGATGCTTTCACTCCTGCCCACACCTAACTCAGTATGTACCTTCTAATATCAGGCGCTGGCAAAGTCAGTTGTCCTAAAATCGAATCTGACCTGCTTTCCCGGCCTGGTCTCTTTTCATGATGGGTTTGGAAATAAAAGCAAAGTTAGGAGTTCAGAGTATGTACAACTGCAGTCTTGGCTCAGGCTCGTAGCCATTTTGGGTCTGAGAGAAGCGTTCTTGTAAGGTTCGTGGCTGCTTATTTAGGAGTAGCAGCGCCACAGTGATGTGTTTGCTTTCATAGCAAAACTAATAGGTATCCACTTAGGCTTATCCACACCAGGCCCTTCAGTGGTTCATAACGTACCAGGCTTATCCAGCGAACAGGCTGTGTCATCTTGCATTGCACATTTTCAAGTCCATGTTTTTAAAAAGGTTCCCTGGAAACTATGCTGGGAACAGCACAGGAATATTTAAGGGCTTCATAAAATTCAGAAAAAATGGATTTAAAATCCATCTGTTTATTTTTATAAAATTCCCAGTGCTGTAGCATGTGGATGCCAAACATTAATTAAAACAAATATATGAAGGATGGTCAGATGACCATTATTATGTTAACCCTGTGGCTACTTTATGTAGTGGTAGCATTCTCTACTCCGACAATCGAAAACTTATCACAAATTCTACCTACTCAGATTCCTTCCTGTGCCCTGAAGGCTGCCAGACTTTATTGATTTTGATGTAAACATACTACTGAGATGATTAGTGCTGTAGAAAATATATGACCAGCTGCTCTGAGAAGCATACAGGTGAGCTGCCAAAAGAGACAAAGGCTAGCCTCATATTTTCAAACTGGGAGGGTGTTCTGAGAAGAGGCGCTGTCTGTGCAAATTCAGAGGTAGGTAAAAGGTAATTTAATGAGGACATTGTCCACCCAAGACATTTCCAGGAGACTCTTGATCAGGAGTGGGATGTTGTACCTAGGTCAGGAAATGCCATGGACAGAGGTTATTGCTGACCAGACAAGGAGCATCTTGTGGTTCCACATTTCAGCATGTGACATCACTTGCATGTAGTAAGCACTTCAAGAAAAGTAACTGCTGGCCCAGTAATAAGTTGCATCTGTAAGAACCCTTGCATTCAGCTTAGCATTAAGGGTAGGGGTGGAAAGTATTTATTTTAAAATGGACATCTTACTTTGAACCACTAACTGACCAGGAACAGGAAGAAACTTCCTTTACAGCCAGGTGGTTCCATAACTGTACTTTTCTTTGAACCATCTGGTACTGGCCACTGTCAGAGCAGACAGGATACCAGATTAGGAGGACCCTTGGTCTGACTTAGTGTCACACTTCATATGTTCCTGTGCAGTTTGATGTGTACATAATATAAGACATATCCTGAATCCCAATAGATAGGCTATCTGTTTTTATACCTATATGTACATTTTGGCATCTTAATGACATAATAACATATGGGGAACAAAGCACCTGTGATGCTGATTTTACCAGAAACCAAAGGATAAAGCATCAGCAACCTAGTTTGTGCACTGTTCCTCCCTCCCCCCTCAGAACCATTCAGATACAAATGCCTTGATCCTCATCTCACTCACACTGGTGGAATTTATGTATAGCTTCATCAATGTCAGTTAAATTATATCAGTGTGAAAACAGTACAGGAGCAGAATCTGGCCAGGGAGAATAACTCTCTCCTTCTACCCTCTTGTCAGTAATCAAGGATTATTAAATGTCTTGCAACACGCAGTAAAAATCTATTAAATGTAAACTAAGGTGTTCTCTGTACTAAGAACTCCTTCAGTTTATTCCTTAAATGGGATTTTAGTTTCCATGGTATTGCATGTTTTGGCAGAGAAGGTTATATTCTCAACAGGGCATTTAATAGATATTTAGTCAAGTGGTTGCCTCCAGCATGCCATACACATACTAAAAAAAAAAAAAAAGCCTGTTATGAACTACTTTAGTTCAGACAAACTTTAAATACTCTGCTTAAGAATCTTAACTACAGCTTTTCAGGCTGCCATGGCAAGAAATCAAAGTTTGACAAGAAAAGGAAATGGATCAAGAAACAAGAAGCCCTCCCTGATATTTTGCATGTATCCTTGTAAATCTGTGAATAAAACCGCCTTTTCCCACTTGCTAAAGAATCTATTAAATTTACTTAGTCATCAGAGCAAATCCCACATCTAATGTCACATTGCTACTGGTGACTCATAACTTCAGGAAACCTGCTGAAAGTCTGCAAAATAAAAAGAACCTTAAATCTGATTTCTTGCTCTTGCTTGGTTGTGGCAGGGCTAATATTAGCCTCAGCTAAGTCAGTCTCTGGTTAATCGCTGGTCTCATGAGCTGTGATAAAGATTGGTGCTGTTGTAGGTCAGGAGAAAGGTGTATCAAATAGGGGTTCAGTTTCAAAGGTGTATCAGATTGGGGTTCAGTTTAATCAGTGTGTGTACTGTATGGACTCATAACCTTTTTTTTTTTTTTTTTTCCCCAAGGAACCTTGACTGTGTTGCTATCTTATTGTAAAGTTAATTATAGGTTAGCTGGCTGGAAGACACACTGGAACTTGCCAACTACATAAACTACTAGCTCTGAAGCAAGTAGAAAACTACCAAATTCAGCTCCTTTTTGAAATAGGTCTTGGGTTTAAGTCTTCCTGTTGCTTTATAAATGTCACCTTCTACTCAGCATAGAATCTGAGTAGGCAAACTTGCTCCCAATAGGAGCTACTGGAACCTTAAATGGACCGTGCTATTCAATGTAGCAATGTGCTTGTGCATCCCTGGAGACAAGTCCTATGTATAGCAGAAAGTCCTCAGCAAGTTTTCCCAGGCACTGTCAATACACTCCACCCTGACCCAGCTGCTTCACCTCTAGGAGCAAAATGCTAATTTGTTCTTAGAGCTTATTCAGTCCCTTGCCTTTCTGCCAAGACTGCCAATAGGGTACTAATTGTGAGGGTGTGTTTTTTAGATGTGGCTGTCAAGTCCATGAGGAACTGGACTGAGGCCACCAACTTATTTCACATAGGCTACTAAGTAATTGTCAGTAACTACTTTTACTCATGTCATTGGTGTGAAATTGATTTCTCCCCTGCTTTGAGCCATTCAGTTCTATGTGGAGCATTGTTTTCAATAAATCCAGAGAGACTGTGCTGAATTCTTGGGAATAAGTGATACCTTCCAAGATACAGTAGAACCTCAGAGTTACAAACACCTTGGGAATGGAGGTTGTTCGTAACTCTGAAACATTCATAACTCTGAACAAAACATTATGGTTGTTCTTTCAAAAGTTTACAACTGAACATTACTTAATACAGCTTTGAAACTTTACTATGCTGCGTTTAATCATCTGAATTTAAATGAAACAAGCACAGAAACAGTTTCCTTACCTTGTCAAATCTTTTATTAAATTTTCCCTTTATATTTTGTAGTTTATTTTTAACAGAGTTCTGTACTGTATTTCCTTTTTTTTTTCTTCTTCTTCTTTTTTTTTTTTTGGTCTCTGCTGCTGCCTGATTGTGTACTTCTGGTTCCAAATGAGGTGTATGGTTGACCAGTCAGTTCATAACTCTGGTGTTCGTAACTCTGAAGTTCTACTATACCTAGGCATGAAGGATAAGCTTGTGACTGAAGTACAGGCATTAAGGAGATCGGTGTTCTCTTCTCAACTCTGCCACAGACGTTCAAGCATGACCTTAAGCAGGCAATTCTAATCTCTTTGTGCCTGAGAGCTATACAAAACGGGGAAAATATTTGCATACCTCGGAGGGGTGTTGGGAAGCTTATTTCACTGTAGAGTGCTTTGAGATCCTTGATGAAAGACACCATAGTATTCTACTTCAGCAGAGTGGAGCCTTCCTTGGTGATGCTTTTGATGCAGAAATCCAACTGATTTTAAATTGTGGATTGTTTTTTTAGATTTCTGAGCCCCATCTTCCTCCCATGATGCTCCTTGGCCATTCTCAAGAGGTTACCTCCATTGCCTGGTGTCCTTCAGACTTCACGAAGGTTAGTTTCTAGAAAAACTGTTTTGGAATGTCCTGTGAAACCAATGAATGAAGGACCAGATGTGACCACGGTAGTGTTTGTTTTACAAAACTTGAGGGGGTATTTTGACCGGGGGTGGAATCTTCTCTGTATGGAAAGCCTTGTTGAAAAGAAAATGGCATAGATGAGCTGGCTTGCTACACTCTTCCCTTCACATAGAGTTAGAGCTAATCCAAAATGTTTTCATGAAAATTCCTAAGACGGTTTAGTGCTGTGAGTTTAAAGTCTAGATTATTTTTTTCATTTTTTGAAATATTCCACAATTTTTTTAAAAAAAATCAGAATTTTCAATTATTTTTTCATTTTTAAAAAGTTTTCTATTTTGATAAAAGCTACCAAATGACTAAGCCAACCGGTCAAAATTGGTGATTACTTTAAAAAAAAATTCTGCTACAAAAAAGCCATAAACGGTAAACAAAAGTTTTGAGTGAGAAATGGAAAATTTCAAGAAAATAAAAATGTTTTTTGCGAAAATGTTTAATTTTTGGGAGGGAGGCCATTTTTTGTGGCATCAACCCACATTGCCCGCACTACATTTTCAACCAAATCCTCAAGTGAATTCAATATGATGCTGTATTGAATTTTTTCAGGTAATTTGAGTCCTTTGATAACTATTAGTAACTTGGAAAAGTCTGTTCCTGGAAATGTATGAAGGCCTTTCCTGATGGAAATTGTTATGCTAACAAATTTGTTGATTATTGATTAATCTAAATGTTATACTGGCAAAATTTGAAGCCATTTCTTCAAGGTCTTCAGATGCTTGTGAGTTTTGTTGATGTCGTCTGCTGTCTGTCCACTGGTATGTTTGCAAATCTAGTGCGCTGAGAGCTTTAGTGGGAGGATGGAAAGAACATTAATGTCTGTTCTTTCAATAAGCCATATGGAGTCTGTCAACATGACTTCTAATTCAATGCTAAATCCAAGAGCCTCACTGTCCTGAACCATATCTTAATGAAAATGCAAGGGTCAGCATTAGTGGTTCCCCCATATGGCCATCACTGGAGGGGAGGGAATTGTTGGCATGGAGAGTAGGGTTAAGGGACCAGTCTATCTCCAAATCAGGAATAAGCCCTCCCACAGCTATGATATCCGAGGAGTCCCATAGAGTTTCTTGCTGGCAGTTTCAGTTGCCCCTCTGCCCACCATTGTTAATCAGCTACTTTCTCTAGGCATCACAGTAGGCCCTCAGGAGGGATTTGAATTAGGATCGGGTAGTGGCTTTGCAGACAAGCTCAAGAAGTACTTTCCAGTTGTAGGGGTGGCATAGGAATTGCTGTGCTGGATGAGACCTCTGATCCATCAGGTCCAGTATCCTGGCCATGGTAGCATGGGAGAAGAAAACAAACAGGGCATTAAAATCTGGGCCAATGTAAAAGGAGTCAAAGGCAGTTCAGAAAGGAGTGGTGGTTAGGCAGGTCCTCAAATGCAAGGACAAGAAGCTTAAAGTTGATGCAGAGGAGATGAGGAGCCAATGGAAAGACTGGAAGAGGCGAGTGATGTGGTCTGAACCCCAGGCAAGGAAGACAAGCCTACCAGCAGTGTTTTGTAGAGCTGATGTTGGTGTTGGGGAGGCCAGAGGAAAGACGTCTTGATTACTGTGCACATAGGCCTTAGCTCTTCTTTCTTTCTTTCTTTCTTTTTTGTTTTCACTAATTCCCAGGTGCATCACTGTGTACACAGCACAAAGGGAGATTAATAAAAGTTCTGATGCTTGCTGGGCAGGTTCCATTGATTATTTGGAAGAGCAACTTGCCATTATATAGGGATCTGCTGTACCTAAACTTTAGTCCTGTCTCTTGCTTTTCTGTACCAAGTGCTGCTGACATTGGATGATGGCAAAGTCTGCAAAGACTGCTTAGTGATGCAATTCCAGCATTTGTCCTTGTTCCAACATTACCTATTTAGAACACGGCAAATGTTTGTCCCCAAACAAGGAAAGGTGAGGAGTGAGAGAAGGAGCATTGGACATTGATGCAAAACGTTGAATTCTTATCTTCTGCTGTCTGTTTCCTCTTGGAACATGAGCTTTGGATTGTGTTTGGGTTTCTGCTATTATTTACTGAGTTACTGAAATGTCAATAAACAAATACTGTATATATTGGCACTTGTGGAGCAAATGGCTGCCTGCCACAGAATCTTCACAAAGCAAATGGGGAGGCTGCGATTTCTTTGCCATAAAAGGGATAGATGGAGGCTTTCTCCTGTCAGATCACATTCAAGGGAAATAGATAGCTTTTTCCTCTGGTACAGTAATTAGACAGCATTTGTTTTTCGCTGGCAGTTCCTTTACCTATTTGTTAGTGGGCAAGGAGGACTCCAGGCAGAACACTTATTGGCACGGAGTGCTGAGAGTACCAACTCACTTGGATTGATTTGCCAGGGACTGTGGAACCTGGCTTCACAGTGGCCTAACCTACTGACTTATGCTGTAGATCGCCACATGTTCTGATGACAACACTGTGAAGATTTGGCGCTTACGGCGTGACTATGATAAGGAGAGACTGACATCAGGCAAAGTCAACTTGGTAGGCTGGGTCTGTCAGAAGAAACCAGAAGAGCAAAATGGAATAGGTAAGGCCCTTAGGGGTATTTTGTCCCACAACATAGGAAGAGGACTTCAGAATTCTGTGTATTTACTGGTTCAGGAAAAGCTTTCCCCTTGGCTATTGCTCTTCGTTTCTTTAGAAATGTGAATTCATGCATTTTCCCAGGCCTGACGCACCATCCAGTAAAGGGCTGGTACTGCATATGCAGCCCTGGAGCTTTGAAATTTTCCTCTTGCCCAGCAGATGAATTCAGTTAAATAACACTGACTTCCTCTCTTTTTGCTTTTAAACAAAACAAAGCACTCACTTTCTACAGGACAAGGTGCCTTTTCAACATTCCAGAACTATACACACCTGCTTCTAAACTCTTACATTCCATTAGAAATGTAATCTTCATTTGACTCTGTCTTGCTGTAAATTATTGTTCCAGCACAATACAGTAGTACTTACTGTAAGACCCAGACATGTGCAGTTCAGTGATGGCTTTCTAAAATGCACCAATTCTTTCACCACTGATGTGTGTACATGGAAATCTATTCACAAATATTATAAAATAAACCAATAATAAATCATGGAGACTCCTCGCCCATCAGCTTGTTAGGATTAGTTAATAAATGCCGTCCCCTTCTGGAAAGCCTGGGAGATCAGATAGGCTTTGCAGTATCCCCTGAATGTCAACAGACTTGGGTTCTGTGAGACCAAGCATGTCATGTTTTGGTCTAGAACTTAATTGTAAACACCCTGCCAAAGTCCTCACCAAGGAAACGAAGGGTCCATTAGCTCCAATGCTGATCCAAACTGCTGCAGGACCATAGAAGGATAGGCAGTCTCTTGGCACGTCCCAAACCATGTGTGAGAAGTCTTGGATCAGAGAGCTAACTTAGTTTGTGTTGAACATGCATCAAGTGTCACATTAGTGTATGGTTGAAATGAAAAGGGAAGGGGAATAAACCCCTCAGCAAAGTGGAATATGAAGATAACTGTATCAGAAATACAGAAATATTTAAAATTTGGACCAAAACTGAGTTGGTAGTGGCTGGTTGGTGTCATTTCCTGTGTTGTTCCATCTCCCTCCATTGACTTTCGAAATGTGCTTCACCTTCATTGTTGTAAATACAAGTGGAAGGTTTTGTAATCCCCCATACTAGGATAACATAAAAATTAACTTTTTGCCAGTGCGTAACTGTCTTGCAGGAAACTTGCGGGACAATAGGTGGGTAAGTGCCAGCTCTCTTCCGTAGTTGCTCACGACACACATTCATGCACTTTGTTTCGGTGAGCTGCTGAGAAACTATTTCACATTCTATTCCCTGAGAAATAAATATGGACATTAGTCTTGTCAAGAAGCTTGAAAACCCAAAGCTGCCTGTACCCTGGATCTTTACAAATCGAATTTGGCAATTACACTAGATAAAATATCATTTCTCCTTGTTTTCTATGCATTAAAACAACCCAGGAGGGAAGAGGAAGTACACAGACCTTGTGTATGCAACAGCAGGCTTCCTGCTGACCTTGGCTCTTTGAACACAAAACACATGCTGTTAGAATACGGGAGCTATCTGCAAACTGATTCATAGTTGGCTAACCAAACAGCATTTCAGGACTGCTTAGATGAAATCTAGATTGCATCCTACCCATTTAAATGGAACAAATTGTGAAGTTGTGGCTGTGCGTTGACTGTTGACCTGCACTGTGGCATGCAGCAAGCACAGCTTCCTTCCTTTGAGGAATTATGTATGTAAATTTGCTAAGTGATATTAATTTCTCTGCACTTCATGTAACCAGAATCGCTAGACCTGGGCTGTACCTTGAATTTGTGATTTTTTTGATTCTTGAAGTCCATAATGTTGCTGTAAAAATTTGATAGGGTGAGGGCAAGAGAGAGAGAAATCCCCACTGTTCGTATACATTGTGCATTTATCTGTCTGAGTCCTACAGATACATACATCATTTGACTGGTAGCTTGGTAGAGGCTTGCACTCAGTGTTAAAAATAACAGCCTTGCAGAATGTCAGTAAGTGGTATCAATGGCAATAGACTTGACTTGTTAACAGAATTTGAGGTCTGAGTGTTTGACTGGTGCACAAACTGCTACAAAAAAGCTTGCTGCTTCTGTTCTGTTTCCCAGCACTGGAACACAGGCATTTGAATTACAGGCTACCTTTCATCATCCCCATCAATACAGCATCTAAATCAAGATAGCTTCCACTTTTCTAAAGGTAGTGACTCCAGAATATATTTTTAAGTCTGCCACGGTTGTGGGCAGCCACATCCTCTTTCCAGCTCATCACCCCACATTTCTCATGTATGAAATTTGTAGCTAATCGCTAGTGAGAGAGGGTTGCTGAGATCACTACTACCCTTCTTCCACATCTAAGAGCTTACATTTTAAGTACAATTAATTCTCCAGCTGAGATAATATAGTCCTGTAAGTAAGTGCTTATTAAGGCCAAGATTAAAAGACCAAATCTTAGCAGTGACCCTGCTATGAGTTCATAATAACTTGCTTCAGTCTAGACTAATAAATATCATTGGGGAAGGAATAATTAACTCCACCTTGTGCTTTAAAGTGGTTGACATTTGTATTCTACTCTGTTTGCTCAGCACATGAATTTAAAGGTGCAGAGACAGTATTGGGCAATATAATATGAGAGTCTTCAGGAAGGATAAGGATAAAAAAAAAAGCTTATGTATAGTGTGTTATTGAGAAGTTATGTAGGTGTTTACACTATGCACATCTCACAAGTAAGTACAAGATTCTAAAAAAAATGGCATTTCATTCACACAAGACTTCAGCATCCTAATTAAGTACTTTACCACATAACAGCTAATGCTGAGAATTAAGAGTTTCAGACTAAATCCCTGGTATGCAGCAAATGTTTAGAGCCCTTTTGCTCCTTGGTGAAACAGTGTGCTTAAGGTGGCTAACGTGCTGTCTTATTTAATTGTACCACCTCAAGTTTAAGGCCAAAAAGGTTCCTTCAGATACATGACATTCCAGCATCTGAAAAGCAGGCATTGGACACACATTAGTACATCCTCTCTCTTCAAAGTAAAATCTCTCTTTAAAAAACAACTTAATTAATGATTTGTTTTGGCCTGAGATGTAGCTTAAATGCGTGCTGCCCTCAGATTTATTGTGGGATTTCTAGTGTACAGCTTATAAACACTGATGACTATGCTTTGCTTTACAATGTAAGAAGTGGGCACGCAATTGAGTAGATGGATTTATATGCAGTTTATTTCATAACATGCTGATGATTTCAATAGCCACTGTGCTATATGGAAATTGCTTATTAAAAAAATTGGAAATTGCTTATTAAAAAAAAAATCACTTATTTGTCATGGCAACCAATCCATCAGTTACTTCCTTGGAATCTAAGACCTCGTACAAGATGCGGGGAATTTCTAGCCTGTCCCTTTGCACTGTAAATAACTGACCTCTACCCAGTAATCTATTCCTTGCAGAATATTTTCCAGCAAAAGGATAGTAGGAGTAAAGTGAAACCTTTCTTAGCTCCCACCTTAACTATCTTATTGGTGTACGAATGTCAAAGCCTAGTTGGGACAATTATCCATAATGGAGAGCATTCTAATCTAAGGCTTCATCTACCTGACAACTAGTTGTGGGACTGGGTTACAATGTTTCCTGACCTGGTTAAAAACCACTTATAAATGGTAGTGTAGATGGGATCTGATGATGTCCCCATAACTGAACTAAAGCTTTGGACAGTTCTGGGTTTTAAGTGAGCGACAGGGATACAGGTCACATCTACAAAACTTCTAAGTGCACTAAATCCTGACGCAGTTATAGCTATTGTACAGATTGGTCCTCAGGAAAAAAAATAACTGGGCTGAGGCACTTTCTAAAATATGCTTCCCTCTCTTCCCATTGCGGCTATCCTAGGAGGCCAGATTACACTGGACAAGGTCAATGACTAAAATACGTCTTGATCCTTCTGTCCATTTTAGTCCTCTGATTGCAGTTCTTTTAAGAGGTGCCAGTTACAACTGAGGTAGACGAGTGCCATCAAATAAGCATCCTGTGTTCTGTAGAGTTTTCAAAAATGCTCAGTATTGGCCTAACTCTGCTGCTGTTGAAATCACTGGGATCTTAGAGGTGTTTAGATCTGGGATGGGGAGCATTAGACAAATAGGTAAGCTGCTAAATTCAGATTCTGAATGTCCCAGAGTTTTGGGGGCTTCTTTAAGGCCTATCTTTAATCTGTCTCTCTTCACTTGCTGTTGCTGTACTGTGTAATTCACGTGACGGTTTTGTTTCTCTTCCATCAGTACTACCAGTCAGCACTCAGAGTACTCCTGCAAAAGTCTCCATGGTGGGCAGCCCATGCATTTCCTCACCACGGCCAGCAGCTTGTGCTCCCAACTATACCGGGGACCTTCCTCTTTCTACCAACACTCCAACATTCTCTCTCAAAACCCCAACAGTCAAGGCCCACACTCCAGCGAAGCAAAGTGAAGCCATATCAGGCCCTTCTCCCAAACCAACATCTTCCACCAAGATGTCCATTAAACACTGGGTTACCAGGACTCCGTACGCCTCTCCACCGGGGATGGGAACAAAGACGCCTTCTCCAAGAAAAGCTCTGGCAGAGGTCACACAGGGTCTTCCAGTGGCAGTTGGCACTCCCGTAGAACCACATTCACGGTTTGAGAAGCGAGCCAAAAGGAGGCTAGAGTCCAGCAAGGGAAATCACATGGGGCAGAAGTGTCTGAAAAGCTGCAGTTGTGTGACTGAGCTGGACCCAGTGGCTAAAAAATCCAGGCTGGATTTGTGCTTTTTGGCAGCAGGCCAAAAGGCCGGTAATGAAGACTGTCTGAGCCTTGCTGAGTTGAATAATAGAACTGAAGGAGGTGGCCAAAGTCCAAAGGAGCCATCCCTTCCTGAAAGCCCTCTTAATCAGGCAGGCTTCCAGACTCCCCCTTTTCCTTTAAAGAACTCCTGCAGGAAAGGGGCTGATGTGCTGGACAAAGAGAACAGTTCACCTGGGGGAAAAAACTGGCTGTCTGCAATGGGAGAGAAGCTGAAGACTAGCAAGGCCAGTAGCCAAAAGGTGTCAGGCAACAGCCCCCAGTCCTCTCAGAGTCCCAGCACAAGACAAGAGGCAGCAACTGCAGCCAGTCCATCGGGACCTGTAAGTAGATTAGGCATGGTTACAAGAGCAGAGAAAGGGTTGAACTCTGGGTTCTGTTCTCTTCTTGCTGTGTTGCACAACTCCCATTTGCAAGCAGTTAACTTGTGTATCAAAAGGATCATCAGACCTCATTGCTTGGGGGAGGAGGGGGTGGGGAAGGAAGGGAAATCTGATATAACAAGCCCCAGTATCTCTGCCATACAGGGTAATGATGTTATAGTCTTGGGAGAGAGAAGCAGAACTGATGTTGCTCATCTGAAAATGATTTAGAACAGAGTACTGGAAAACGTTCATTGTCTATGACACTGGCACTTACAATGCAGTTCTACTCTGAAAATAACAGCAGCACTTACTTGACAGATCTGCTGCTTACATGTATTCACAGCCATATCTGCCCACTTAGGTGACATAGATTGGCCCCCACTAGCACTGCAGACCCAACCCAGCTTTTGGAGAAAATGAGCTGAATTTTATTCTAGCTCTTGTATCAACAGAATTTGTACGTCTGTAACAATTGTGGGACTAAATTCTACCCTCGGTTACATCTGTGGAAAAACCATTGAAAACAAAGGGATTGCACAACTGTCAGAGGGCAGAACTTGGCCTGCAGACTCCTTACTACTTGTGTTGTGCAAGAAAGCAGGAACCCAGCCTGACTTTCAGATCCTAGGGTGAGTTTGCAGAGCGGTTAAAATGGTTGGCAGATGAGGAGTTTTTTGTGCTTTAGAGCAAATTCTCAATTTGCATGTTGTCATTGAATCAATACAAATGGAATCCCATGATGCCCGTAACTTCCAAAGTTAGTTTTCAGAGGACCGCTGAGCTTTGTTTATAAAACTGATAACTGAGATATGATTATTACAATCTTTAGTTACACCAGAATTTGAAATTTGATGGGAGAATATAATTTGGGCTACAAATAATCTTTGAAACTGTCATCATGACTGGGGCTTATCTTGGTAAAATTGCTTCCTATTGACCTAAATTTTGTCTCACACCAGCACTTGGGTTCATAGAGTGCTAACAATACAGGCTATTCAGTAATGCACTTCAGAGGCTTAGTCCTTTCATGATTGAATGTCTTTCTAAACAACATTCTCCAGCTCTACCACAGATTGGTCTTGATGCAAATGAAAAATCTGTGGCCTGTGTTACGCAGGTCAGACTAGATGATCATAATGATGCCTTCTGGTCTTAAAATCTATGAAATTTTGTATCTGGTGGAGACAGGGTAAGAACTAGAGCCCCTAGCTCTTCTCATAGAGCAGTAGGGTAACGCCAGGATTTTAGCAAATGTTTCCTGTCTCCAAATAGGATCTGAATGTCCCAGAAGCCATACAAATTATTCCAAAGAACATAATGGTTGTCCTTTTAACAGTATGTAACTTGGCAGCTCCTCAACATATGCAAGCTGTCGCAGTTATGGAGGGGAGAAGCTTAAAAGACTTCTACGGTGTGTGCAGAGTTTAACCTGGAAGAACTAGATGGGGCATCTACTGTCAAATACATATGTTTATACTTGACTTGAATCTCTTCCAGGTTGCAGTCACTTCAGTTTCCATGAGGAAGATCTGCACGTACTTCCATCGAAAGTCACAAGATGACTAGTGCAGTATGCTGCATTTGAAAGAAACCGTAGCCCTGGATGTTGACACACCACTGGTGCTACCAAGAGTGGATTTAGCAACACAGAAGGAGGAAGACACTAGGATTAGCCAATGCATTGTTGGCCCTTAATAAAGCTGGATTTTTTTATTCTCTTGTTCTTTAAATTCTTTTATAAAATCTATTACACTCTGTAGCCTCAAGTTATTTGAACATGAAACATGTAGGATGCTAATTAATGGAGACTCACATGCCATTAACATGAAGTAGGTGATGGATTTTAAAATATATGTTTGCTTTTAATACGTCACTCAGTTAAATGTTCCCCCATGAGTTCTTTTGCACATGGCATCTGTGAAATGCTCTAGTTATCTCTGGAAAGAGACCTTTGATGTGTGTTATTAACATTGTCAAATACAACTTGTCAGTTGATATTTGTTTCATTATGTCTGATCTTGAAACTTTTGTTTCAAAATCACATCTTGGCAAAACATACCATCTCTTTTTGATAGCAGCTGAATAGAGATGGCTGTGGAGAAACTGTTGTTGCAGATAGACGGGAGCCACCATTTCTGCTAAAGGATATTTCTACAGCTTGTTCCTTTTGTATAACAATGACTCTCCCATTTCGGCAAAGAAGCTTGTAAATTCGATTTAACTGCCTGTAAATACAAAACATTTTAATGTTCCAGAGTGTCTGTCTTACTGTTCCAGTGTTGCATGGGGTGCTTGCTGTGTGAGGAAAAAATACAGCATAGCTAAGGGCATTTTTGCCTCCTTTTTAAAAAAATTCCCCTCTCCTACCACCTCCCAAGTTTACTGCTTTCCATACTCCTGCCTCTGCTAGCCCAAGGACACCCATGGTAGTCTTGTAACCATGGAGACCATGGCTGTCGAGGCTGGAAGCCTGATCGCCCCTTTTAAATCAAATATCGTCAAGGTCGGTTAGAAGTTATCAGATTATAGTCTATCCCAAACAAAATTGGCTTTAGAAGAAAGCAGTCCATACTAGCTTATTGACCTTTTATGGATGTAAATTGTAGCATAACTGTCTTGATGTTGGAGGCAGGAAAAAAAAAATCCACTTTACGGAGTTAAGGTTGTAATATTAATATTAATGCTTACAAGGCTTGGATTGGAGAATAATGTATATAATTGGGTAGTGTGATTATGGTAGGCTGTCCCAAAAGAGGTCAGGATTCTGCAGCTAAAGCTCTTTGTCATCACTGCTGGTTGTTCAGACTGAAACCTCTTGCTGGTGCTAAAACGTAATGAAGGGACACTGAGGTGTAATGAGCCAGATAGAATTCAAATAGATATGTTACGCTAATGATGACTAACTCACAAGTTACTGGTTCAATACAGGAGTAACTGACTGAAATTCTAAGGTCTGTATTTCACAGGAGGTCAGACTAAATGATCCAGTGGTCCCTTCTGGCCTTAAAAATCTATGAAAGTCTGTCTGTTTCAAGCCTCAGGATTGCAGACCTACTGAATGTTATTTAAAGGAACACAATAGAATTAAGTCACACTTCTGTCTGAAACTTTTGCACCTACTAATGTTAAGTGATATATTTCTATAACTGAAATGGATTAGAGGAAAAAAAATTTATATTTTACTGTGTGCATTGGAAAGCACTTTATGTAGTCTGACGTAATGACAGGTTTCAGAGTAGCAGCCGTGTTAGTCTGTATCCGCAAAAAGAAAAGGCGTACTTGTGGCACCTCAGAGCCTAACAAATTTATTTGAGCATAAGCTTTTGAGAGCTACTGCTCACTTCATCCGATGTGGTAGCTCACGAAAGCTTATGCTCAAATAAATGTGTTAGGCTCTAAGGTGCCACAAGTACCCCTTTTCTTTTTGAGTACTCTGTTTCATTGAGCCCTGTATCGCCAGTTTCTCTTTACACAGCAAGGAGGGAGAGAAATACACTATGTTTTAAAAAAAAATTGTGATGGTAAAACTGCGCTGTTGGCAGGAGGACTCAAAGGCAGGTATAGAACCTGAAATTACTTTCTAATTTTTGTAACATTGACTCAGTTTCAAGTTGACAGCAGCCATCTAGCTTTGGAGAAATATCAAACTAACATTAAACGGGACAAGTAAAATATATTTCAGCCATATATGAAACCTTGCTTCAAAAATTGAGATCTTTAAGTGGTAACTGAGTCAATCCAATATCTTGAGCTAACTAAGACTAAAAAAACCTGACACTTTGATGTTCAAAAGTAGCTCACCATTAAACTTGACCTTAAAGGGTGGGAGGAATTGAAACTTAACATAGAGGGCAAACTAAAGGCAATAGGACAGTTTAATGTTCTGCTAAGTATCTTACACACTTGTAACCAAACTCTGCTGATTTGTACTCTGTATTACCAGTGGTTTCAGGGGGGCTGCATAACAAGTATAAACCCCCACATAAATTCCATGGGTATCCCCCCCCAACCCCAGCTTTGTGAGGTTACAGTTGTGAGGGGATAGGATGGTGAGGGTGAAATTTTGGTCCTCTTGAAGTGAATCCCTCTCATACTTTTCATAATATCTTCCACTTCTGGGACTAACTCCCACACCTGAATCCTTACTCATCTCTACTCCTCAGCTGATTATTTAGGGGTTTAGAAGTGTAAATGGGCAAAATACCTGGTCAGATAATCTTCAATGGGAATGTGAGAACCCTTCTCCTTTCATAGCAGCTCTGCACAGCTTCTTACCTCAAGCACATAAAATCAATTTGGCTAACACTATGAAGACACAAAACATAACTCAATCCCTTATTCTTATGTAGTCAAAGTGACACAGTCTGATCCTGACAAAAAGCTTGGCTCCAGGGGAATAAGAAAGGAATCGTTCATATGAATCACTTGGTTTGTGATGTGACAGTCTCTTGTTTTCAGACTGCGGGGAATTGCATAATGTGGTTTAAGACAACTAGTAATGTCTTTACCTGGGGCATCTGCTCAAGCATTTAATATGTATGTCCCCAAGCAACTGAACCCACCTGCTTGTCTTGACAGAACCAAATGTATTTCGAAAACAGGTTTTCTCCTACATGATCCCCAAATACTCTCTAGCCTCAGACTTCACAAAAAAAAACAAATTAAAAATTCTCCATAATAAATTATTCCAAAATCCTAGTATTCTAGCTCTCCTCCATTCCCTACAGGAGTGCTGATTCTCTTCCCAACAGTTTTATGGGGTGTGCCTTACACTCTTTGCCATTTTTTTCATGCTGGGAATTCTGCTGCAGATGTCATACGTCCAGTCAGAGCTATCTGGCCTCTTAATTATACCTTGGTCAGTCCTCCTTGTATCTTCCTTTTCCCTAGAGATTGATTTCTGTAAGTCACCTCTCAGAACTATACTGTTGTAGTATTGGTGAATATTTGCACCCCTATTTTATTGAATGCGGCAAAGATATTTGCAAGAATTTAGGTTGTGATGTGCTTCCTGCATCATTGGAAAACTAGAACTTTTTCAGAAATGCCTAAGTGAGACTATAGGTAAAATTTTCAAGTGCCACCTAAATCACTTTTTAAAATGGGACTTAAAAGCCTAAATCATTTTGGCTTTTTTTTTAACACGTGACCCATAATTGTGCTGGCAATGATTTTGTGTTTCAGATGCGCATCCCCTCTTAAGACTCACTACTTATTGCAACTGTTGGAACTAGTGTCCATTTTCCTGTTAATGTTTGTGTCAGATTCTTCTGGCTGGTTATATTAATTTGTTCCCATATGAATGTTTTGAATTGTTGAACCTAGGATTTCATATTTTATCTATCCTGTTCTGTATTTGGGAATTTAATTGTATGATACAGTTTTACTTTGGAAACAAGCATTCTCCAACCAGGAATTTGCCATGAGAATCCATTAGACACCCACATATGCCACCATGTTGAGAGGTCCCTTTGTTGCAGTCACATGCATTCTGAGGTCTCTTCCAAAAGTTTCTGATCTTTCAATATTTCTCAAGATAAAGCCTTAGAAAGACTTGTAGATTCCATTGGCACTAGGTGGGAAGCAGTGCTTGGGAGTCTTTCTGTCCCCAGGTCTATTGTGCTCAAGACACTTTAATGCTGACTTGAGCACTTGTCTATATGAGAGGTAAATTGTCAGCCTCTAATTCTTTTCAATCACTCAGTAAAATAAATGAATGACTTCTTACCCCAGTGTAGCATTTTTGTGCCATCATGCAGAAAACTATTGCTCATTGACCTCCTTTGGATTTCTTTGACTTCCCAGCCTGCAAGATAGATCAAATATCAGATTTTGGGCATAGAAGGTGTTTTGCTACTCAGTAATATCTTTCATGGGGTTGGAATAGCCATAGAGTAGTTTTGACCATAACCAGTGCTCTGTTTAGACAGTGGAAAAAGCCAGAGATCGTAGAAAAAAGTGACCGAATAAAGCCAGTCCCAAGGATGGGAGGGGGCACACCTCCATAGTTTATTTTAAAGTAGTTTGTCTAAAGGGATGCTTAAAGGGAATAGACCCAAAACTCACTTAGGGGATTTTTTTTTCTTTGAAAAGGGGAGGTGAGGTGAGGAGTAATGCCAGTAGCTTTGTAGCAATGAGTGCTACAATACTAAAGCAGCACGAACCTAGGGAGATGAAACCAAAATTCTGCTTGGGAACTACATTTCATTTCTAAACTTCCACCTGGTTGTTTTTAAAGAGAACAAAAATCTATTAAAATTATGCAAACTTTTTTTTTTGCTTTTTCAAGTTAAGGAAACAATTCTCAGTCTGATGCCATGAATAGATTACTATTGAAAGATCCTGCTAGCCCAAGCTTCTGCAGATATTCATAGATTCTGAAGGCCAGGAGGGACCATTATGATCATCGAATCTGACCACCTGCATAACACAGGACCCAATAATTTCTGCATCAAACCGGTAACTTGTGCTTGAGCTGTAGTACCTCTTCTAGAAAGATATACAGTCTTGATGTAAAGACTGCAAGTGGTGCAGAACTCACCACATCCCTAGGTAAGTTGTTCCCATGGGTAATTACCTTTGCTGTTAAAACAGCTGTACCTTATTTCTAGTCTGAAATTGTCTGACTTCAGCTTCCAGCCACTCAGTATCATTCTGCCTTTTCCTACTAGGTTGAAGAACTGTCTGTCAGAAAATCTCTTCCTTATGTAGGTACTTGTAGACTGTGATCAAATCACCTCTTAACCTTCTCTTTGAACTAAATAGTTTGAGGATATTTCAGTATTTAGCAGTTTAAAGGCCTAAATGAAGTACCTGAGGGCCACCCCTTTCCCCCGCCATAATATCACGGCTGGGTGCCACTGGTATAAATGAGAAGGAGCTGCTGGCAGGTCACCTGGGGGGTCCTACAGCTTGGGAATTGCTTCCCCAATGTTGGTCTGAAAAAGTGCAGGAGGTGAATGGTTAGGTCGTGAAGCTTTAGTTATCCAGGATTTTTGGTTTGGATCACAGAGCGCATAGCTGCTGTCTAGTTGCATGGGAGGTCTATTGCCCATGTATTTAATGCTGAGGGTGCTCTGAGCACAGGGATAAGTATGCCCTTTAGTTTGTATATATCTAAATAAGTAAAGGCCAAATTGACCTAGCAGAATATAGAATTCTTCTGTTGCAATACCTATGCCTACACAACAAGACATTCCTGTTATTCATTGCTCTCACCCTCCCAATTGTTTCATCCTTGCGAAAAAGCCT